GGCCCCTCCCCCGGGCCGGTGGGAGGACACGCCCCTCTGTGTGGGCGTGGCTCCTCCCTCGCCAGGCGGGGCGCGCCGGAAACGCCCTCTCTGGCTAAGTGTCTCGGGCTGCCTTCCGGACGGCTTCAGCCTGCAAGCGGCCGCGCGGAGCCTAGCTGAGCCGGAAGTCCGTTTGCCTCACCCCACCCTCAGTCAGCGCCGAGAGCGGAACTCTAGGCGGGCTGGCCTTGGGGCACCACGGGCGTCCGTCCCCACAGCCCCGCGCGGTGCGCGCCAGACCTGGAGCAACGTCGGTAAACATGTCCAAGGTGGAATGGCACGTTTGACTTGCAGAAATGGAAGAAGTTCTGGCCAGGGTGAGGTAACCAGTCCAAAAAGGACTTAATTAGAATAACCTCTGGGTGTTAAGAAAACACCTAGGAGCCGGCGATGGTGGCGCACGCCTTTAGTCCCAGCACTCGGGAGGCAGAGGCAGGAGCGTCTCTGTGAGTTCGAGGCCAGTCTGGTCTACAGAGCGAGTGCCAGGATAGGCTCCAAAGCTACACAGAGAAACCCTGTCTGGAAAAACCAAGGAAGGAAGGAAGGAAGAAAGGAAGGAGAAAACACCTTGGTGGAGTGTGGTGGCGCACACTCTTAATCCTGACACTCAAGTAACAGAAGCATATCAATCCCTGAGTTCGAGGCCAGCCTGGTCTACAGGGAGGAGTTCCAAGCCAGCTAGGATTACCTAGGAAGACGCTATCTTTAAGATGGGAAAATAGCTTTAACCTCACAGACCTCTAAAAAGGATCTCTAAGGAGCCTCTTTCCCCCTCTTCCCCATGGGTTCTCACACCACACTGAGATCTGGCAAGGAGGAGCAGTTGGTATTTGCAATAGGCAAGGAAGATGACTTGGTCAGTAAAGTACCTGCTTTACATCAAGGACCTGAGCTCAGAGCACAAGAACACAGTAAAAGGCCAAGGTGACAGCTAACTCCTGGGTCCTCTGCACTACAGGAGTGGGATTGCTGAAGCTAGGTAGCCTAACCAGTGAACTTCCGGTTCTGTTTTAGATGCTGTCTCAAAAAATAGAGGTGAATAGAAAAAAAAAGGCATCTATTATGGACCTTATGCCTTTACACTAACAAATATATCCAACACACACACACACTGAATTTTTAATATAGTCATAATAAAAACTCACTTTTAAAATACTGTATACCTAGTTGAATGTTTTGTGTAAATGTCATTAACGTTGGATCATAATACCTGTACTATTGAGGCAGGTAAGTCATTTTATTTACAATTAAGATTGAGCCACAGTGTTCAATAATGCACCTGTGGAAGAATGGAAAACTACAGTCACATTGCATTGGATAATAACATGAAATTATTCACTTCCAAATTTAAGTAATAAACCTCGACTGGATCTACACATAGAGGCCCCACTGGAGCACAATGAATCTTGGCGAGAATTAAAAGCTCCAAGGGAGGAGAGATGAGTCACATTGTACCAGAGCTTTCCTCAGGACCTTTGTCTTGAATCCTCCCTAGTTTGTTCTTGAGAAAAGAGAAACAATCATACCAAAGAACTTGATTCTCAATGATCTCTGCAGGTGGACTCCTTCCAACTTCTCTTCAATTCTGTAACACCCACCAGGCCCTCTATGTGCCTGGATCACACAGGTTGTGTCTCTGGTTCTTTTGTTCTGACCCAAAGCTTTTGTCAACTTCAAATCCCAGGCTCTTTTCCTTGTGGAAACTTCTCTTCCTGCCCATGTCGCAGATGAAGTTCAGTCACTCATACCACTGAACTCCTTGTCTTTTAGAGTACTGGTCCCAGCTGGCCTCTTCCTGTTTGATTCTTTTTTTTTTTTTAAATCAGTATTCAACCACTCCAGCTCCACCATCCCCAGATTGAAAACTGAAGGAAGATGTGTTCACTGAGTCTCCAACTATGATAAAGTGCCTGACACTTAATAGGTATTCAGTATGTATTTACGGAGTCAATGAATCATTAACAATAGCTCATCTGAAATTGACATCTCAGAAGGCATGTTAGAATCTGAGGGCAAAAGTCATTGTTTGAAAATGCCCACTAAGGGTTTTTAGTCATTCCCTGCAAACACTGTCTGGTGTCTTGAGCAATCTTTTTCTTTCTTTTTTTTTCCTGGTGTTTTGAGACTGTAGCCCAGGCTGTCCTAGAACTGGTGACAGTCCTTTTACTTCAGCTTCTCAAGTGCTAGGGTTACCTACTGGAGTCTTCACACTTAGCTTCAAGCAATCACCTTGACATTTGCTTATGTAATCTGTTTAACAAAAGGCAAATATGCTTCATAACTTTAAAACCCTGGAAATCAGAAAGTGTGATGTCTCCTTTGGATCATACCTTCCCTTTGTTCAGCCTTCTCTATGTAAAAGCATTACACAGCAGCATGCTCAAAAGTCAGCCCTCAGCTGTCCTTCGCTCTCATCTGGCTGCCCTTGGCATAGTTTATGAGCCACTCTTGAGTAGCAATCACGAAGGACCAAAGGCTACCCTAACTCATTCCCAGCAGATTCCTTTTCAGCTCAGTGGTCTGGAATATTGGATTTTCTTATTCTCAAGAAATAATGTGAACAATGGGAAAGGAATGTAGTCTATAAGAAGAGAGGAGAGCCTGAGGTTCCAGGCCCTGCCATAGACAAATGAGAGTTACGATGGGCAGTCATAAAGTTATATGTAGAGCTGGGTGTGGTGGTGCACACCTCTACTGCCAGCACGCAGAAGGCATGGGTGAGAGGGTGGCCACAACTTCGAGGCTAGCTTGATCTCCATACACACTGAATCCCAGAGCAGCAAGTGCTATATAGTAAGAACTGGCCTCAAACAAAACAACAAACCTAATGTTTGCAATTATTTACCAAATAAGCATACAGTTGAGAATCATTTATTGCTGGGCAGTGGTGATACGAACCTTTAATCCCAGCACTTGGGAGACAGAGACTGGCAGATCTCTGTGAGTTTCTACAGAGTGAGTTTCAGGACAAATACGGCTATTACACAGAGAAAACCTGTCTCGAAGAAATCCAAAGGAAAGAAAGATCATGTATTAGTCTTTTACTACTTGTAATTAGAAGCATTTCTAAAATAGCTTCATTAATTCTTTGGTAATCCCATACAACATATTTTGAGTATATTCACCCCAACTCTTCCCCTTAACTCTTCCTCCCAGCTCCACTCCACCTCCCTATGCACCAATTTCCTGTCCTCTTTTATTTTTGAACCATTTTGAATGCTAGGCTTACTTCCCAGAGAATATATAGGTTGTTATGGTTTGTTTGTTTTTACTTTTTAGTGTGTGTGTGTGTGTGTGTGTGTGTACCTAAGAAGTCAGAGGATTGGATCCCCTTATAACCACCCAATATGGATTCTGAGGAATGAACCTGGGTCTGCTGGGGTAAGTGCTCTTAGCGACTGAGCCATCTCTCCAGTTCCCTCTTAGGAGTATTTTTCATCAATATTAATTTTAACATTGTTCTCTTTTATGTTGATTTGTTTTGTTTTAGTTTCTGACACACAATTGTCCTGGAACTAGTGGCAATCTTCCTGTCTGAACCTTCTAAATACTAAGATTATAATCCTATAAGCTATAGGTGTTATAATCCTATAACCAAAGGTGTTATAAGCCTATAACCAATAGGTATGCAGCATAACACCCAGTTGAGACTTCAGTTGTTTCGCTCATTTTGGACTTGCTACCTAGGCTGAGACAGACTATGTAATTCAGAGTGCTTTGAACCATGACCACCTTGGCCAGCTTGGGAAGTCCCCAAATAAGCTGAAATGAAACTGGTATTGAGCATCATCAGGAAGTCAGTTTTCATAACTATCATTCTGCTCACTTCAGGAAGAGTGATAAGAAGCTTTACCACTTGAAGAAGAAGCAGGACTTGCACCCAGCAGTCAACATCACACAGATTTTGGTGAAGCAAAGATCACTGCTGCTAAAATAATGCTACCTGCCATCACTGATGACAGCAAATCACCAAAAGTTGTAGAGTGAAAAGAACTTGGGAGGCAGTCATCAAATATTCAGCAATAGACCTAAGGAGGAAAGATAGGGAACAGCCAGTCTCCTGGGGACCAAACGGAATAAGATTATTGAACATTGTGTTTTGCAGAAAGAAAAGGTGGTAAAAACTTCTAGAAGAAAGGAGAGATGGATGGAAACTATAAGCAGCAGCAAATCCACTGTAGCACAGGATCTAACTGGTTTTAATAATAAAAACTCAGAGTCAAATATTAGGGGGTGAAAGCTGAAAGATCAGAGAAGCAGAGCAGCCAGCCACTAGAGCTCTTACCTCTACGAAACACTCACACTAAAAAGAGAGTATGCTTCTGTCTTCTCCCGCCTTATCATTTCTTCTCTCCACCCAGCCATATCACTTCCTGTCTGT